TCAGTCTTTTTTTGTTTGTTTGTTTTATTTTTGTTTTTATTTTTCAAGACAGGGTTTCTCTGTAGCTTTGGAGCCTGTCCTGGAACTAGCTCCGGTAGACCAGGCTGGCCTTAAACTCACAGAGATCCAACCCGCCTCTGCCTCCCGAGTGCTGGGATTAAAGGTGTGCGCCACCACTGCCCGGCAAGAAACCCAGTCTTGAAAAGCCAAATGTAAAATGAAACAAAATAAAAAAAATGAAAAATAAATGATAGGCAGAGGTGACCTCAGAGGATAGGTGTGGGGGACGGACAGGGTGCGGGCGGTATGTTAGGAAATGCTTTCACTTTCTTCTTATTAAATCTTGACATCAGCAGACTTTGACTATTAGGCAACTACATATCTTGTTTTGTAATAGGGCAGCAAGGAAGAGGTTGGAGAGATGGCTCCGTGGTGATGAGCTGTCGTCATTCTCGCAGAAGAACTAGGTTTGATTGTCTGTGCCCACATGATGGTCCACAAACCTCTGTAAGCCCAGTTTCAGGGAATCTGATCCCTTCTTCTGACTTTTGCAGGCATGAAGCATGCATGTGGTATGCATATATACATGCAGGCAAAACCCTCATACTTGTAACATAAGATACATAAATCTAATTTAAAGCCAATATTTTGTTTAACAGAATTGTTGCGACTTTAAGTGTTGCTGATGTATTTGTTAGAAGGATAAGTGGATGGGTGGATAGATGGGTGGGCTGGCTAGATGGGTGGGTGGGCTGGCAGCTGGCTGGTCGGATAGATGGGATGGGATGAATGAACGGATAGATAGGTGCATATATGGATGGGTGGGGGATGGATGGATGGATGGATGGATGGATGAGTTCGTGCATGTCTGAACTGAGCCCTGAAGTTTGTTTCCCTGGCAGGCTGATCGATTCATATCCAGTCTGCCATGTGTCCACCTTTATCCTTGGATACAGTGAATCAGAAGCTCCACAGAGCAAAGTAAAGGTGAACTCACAGCCATGCTGTGGGTGGGTGGCATAGAGGTGGCCTCCCTGGCCTGCCTCAGTCCCCACTCATCTCCTGGATGGAGTGGTTGCCAGCAGGCCGGTAGGGCCGCCCACTCTGCTCAGCTCAGGACCTGCTTCCAATTAGCCATGAAATTTGAGCTGGAAGAGACCTATTAAAGTCCCATTTAGTTTGATTCCCCTGGGGTCCAGGGATCTTTTCCGGCGACATCCCCCTCCTTGTCTGACTGGGACTTTAAGCTTTTTGGATGTTATCTCCTCCTGGGTCAATATTGTGACAACTCCAGCTGTGACCCGGGCCACCCTGGAGCCAGAGCTAGTCTAAGTTTGGTATGGAGTAGGATCCCAAACCCAGCCCTTAGCCACTCCAGGGATCCCGAACCCAGCCCTTAGCCACTCCAGGGATCCCCAAAATGATGAGCTACAATCACACTTAGTAGGCCGCTGTCCTCCCTCGCCAGGCATACAGCCAACCTGAACCCTGCTCTCCAGGCTGGTCTGGTGGCCCACCCGCTTACCCATGGGAAGCTCTTACCACTAGGGACCTCTTTTCTATATTCCCAGTAGTGCCTGATACAGGCTTCATATTTCATAACACCGTTACATAAGAAATAATAAATAACGACCTCCTCCCGTTGTCCCTGGGCTCGCCTGGTTCAGACCTCCCAGCAAGGGCATGGGAGCTGGAGAGGAGATGAAGGGAGGACAAGGAGTGGGGTGCCCCCTTCCATTTCCCTTCCAAGCACCTCTACACGGCCTCACCCGCAGACCACTCTCTAGGGAGTGAAAAGGAAGCTACTGGAAAAGGCAAGATGGAGATCCTAAAGCCCTGATGGAAAGAGGTACCCCAGTAAGAAGTGGGGCTTCCCAAGCTCTTCTCATCTTGCCCGTCAGCTGCCCTCACCTCGGCAGAACCACCAGGGGAGAAGGGCGGTGCCCACTGTGCTACCTGCCCTCGCTGAGATCTCTGAGTACAGGTGGGTGGAAGGCTGTGCTCCAGGGACCAGGCTGGGTGCAGCCAGGCCTGTGGGGTGATCCACTGGGAAAATTTGTGATGTCTTTACTGAACCCTGGAACAGCAGGGAGAAGGTAGCGCTTTGGGGGCCTGGCTGGGGTGGCCACTAGGCAGGGAGAAGAGGACCCCAGAAAATGAGAGCAGGCAAGCTCCTGAGGGCAAATAAGATATACTCAGAACATCACACAGAAGTGTGCCTGTCCGTCAGCCCCCTCCACATTCCCCTCTGGGCCCTGCAGAGGTCAAGGGACAGAGTCAGGGGTGGGGGTCAAAAGTCATCAGGGCTAGTCTCCTGCCTGCTCTTGGCGGACACAGATCTGGTCTTGGATCTCTGCAGTTGTAGACCTCATGGCCTTTGGTAGTGGAGGATCTCTTCTTTAGGTCTAAGTTACTATAATTAATCAACCAGATCCAGGCTCTGACTATGTAGTCCCCGCGGGCCGCAAACTCTTGATCTTCTTGCTTCAGCTTCCTGAAGTCAGTATGCTGACTTTGCAGACAGGTGCCACCAAGTCCCGGCTCCTTAACATCCTTTTAAATTGTATTTCCTGTTTCGTCTAAGGTAGTTTAGCACAGGTCCCTCTCCAGCATTAAATCATTGCTTTGTTCTTCTGAAGTTCACTCCCCAGAGTGGGCATCATAAATCTATGCCTCTTGGGTACTCTGGCCTGTCAACATCCACTGACAAGCCCAACCCCATCACTCCTAACAGGTTATGGGAGGGATCCTGTTGCCCCGGGGACCCGGGCAGTGCTGTCACCTCCTGTTAGAACCATGTTGTATTTACCTAGTCTTGGTTGCCAACTAGGAAGGGAAGGGATGCTGAGGGCTGGAGCTCAGGGACCAGGACCCGGTGGGACCACATCTCTGCCATTCCCAAGCTGCTCGTGAGCACAGCAGCCTTGCGACCTATCAGGAATGCTGTGTTTCTCTCTGTCAAAGGGCAGGACATATTGCATATGCTTCCTCCCTCTCCTGGAGCTAGGAATGTAGAGAGCAGACTAACTGGCCTCTTCCTTCCGAGGGCTGGGCTGAAAGAAGGCCATCGGTATGCGTAGCCCACGGGTACGCTGGGCCTGCTCTCCACATACAAGCACGTTCCCTCAACGCATCAAAGCACATGTGCAGTCTGTGGGGCATGAGTGCCCAGCTCATGCTTACCTGTGTATACATGTTTCCATGGACACATACAAACCGTCTGGCGCACAGGCACACATGGCCAAACACACATGTAGGTCATGTCTCCACGCACATGTTTTCTCATATCATGTTCATCTCAACACAGTGTCACACTACACACACACACACACACACACACACACACACACACACACACGAGAGAGAGAGAGAGAGAGAGAGAGAGAGAGAGAGAGAGATTAATCATAGGCCATTAGCTGCTACTGCCTTCAAAATTTTGGAAAATGCGGTAGGAGTTGTTCAAAACCCACTGGCCTTTGGGAGCCATTAAGTTCCTTGAACCAGGAGACCCCAGGTCTTGGGACAGAGAAAGTTTTAATAAGTGAAGCCTGGTGACAGCTGTGCACACCAAGAGTAGGGGTGTGCACTAGGGAGGCCAAGGTCAGTGGAGACTTGATTTGGATAGTAGGTTCCACAGGGCGACCAAGCTGACTAGCATAAAAGGGCTTTTTGCAGTGGGAGCCTGGGGCAGTCTGGAGTCATAGTGTCAGGATCCAAATGGCTCTTTGGGAGGCTTCAGTCACAACAGTGCCTGCCCTGTGTTTCGGGCCAAGGGATCCGAGATTGGGCAGCAGGAAGGAGGGGTGGTGAGGGAGGCTAAGCCTGGAGTAACGCAGAGGGAAAGACAGCTTTCCACTTGACGCTGGCCTCAGGGATGGAGCAGAGGTGTCCAGGCAAGAAGGGACAGGAAGGGTGACCCAAACTGAACCTGGCAGCTGCATGGCTGGGTGGGGGGGTGACAGTGTTACTCATTTGTGCATGCCCCCTAGAGCCAAGCACAGGTTGTCCTGAGGAGCTGAACACAGTGTCTGTGCCAGAATCGTGGAGTCCAGGCAGCTATGACAAAGTCCCCTGGGACAAATGAGAAAGAGGCTCCAAACAGTGCCTGACACTACCCCAGGCCCTACCGGCATGACCACAGGGAAAAGAGACACTGTCTCCCTGAGTGAGAACCATCAGGAGATACAAGATCGAGAAGGCTTCCAAGGCCTGTTGGCTGGCCACGAAACCCACTCAGGCCTCAGAGGCAGCGGTCATTTGTTTCCCTGTCCAGACAGAGGACACCTAGAAGTGCCCAGGTCAACCCAGCTTTGACCCTTTGACCCTTTCCCGGGGAAACTTCCACCAAAGCCAGTCCAACCATCCCTGGCCTCAGCATCCGGCTGAGATGGAGCAGCCCTTTTGTGGCCCCATCTCCAGCCTCCATCTCTTTGGAGCGGGAAACACCACATCCCAGCTGTCTGTCCCGAATCCACCTGGAGGCCGGCCAGCTTGGCTAGAAGCCAACTTAGTTAGGCCAGACCCAGGAGACTCTGCCGGGAAGAGGCAAGAACGGGAAGAAAGCACCGGGCCAAAGAGGGCCCCTTCTCCGAGGCCTGGTCTGTGAGATTGGTCCTGGCACACTCATGGACTTACCCATCACTACACAGTTCTGAGCTCCTGGCACTCGGGGCTGTGTCTCTCTGCTTTTCTGGGATGTGCTAAAGAGATGAATGTTACCATGACAGCTGGTGGCTGATTCCATCCTGATTGCAAAAGGCCTTGGAGGCCTGGCTTGGAGCCCCACGAGGGACAGAAGGCAATCTGCTTGAGAACCCAGAGAATGAATGGCCATGCAGTCTAGAGATGCAGCATGCCCCCGCTCTGAGAGCAACCCTTCCTTCCTCCCGCTCTCTTGGGAAGCCGTCAGCTTGCCTCACCAGCAGCTGCTGTTACAACCCTGGGGGCAGCCTGGGGCCAACAAGGGTGGTGAAAGGCAAGGAAGGGCCCAGGGCTGCCTCATTCTCTGCAGGCAAACCTCTGTCCTCCTTCACACCCACACTCCAGGCACCAGCCCGAAAATAGTCCATTCTTTCCCCTCAGTTTCACCTTCTCCTCTTCCGGCTGACAACCAGGAGAGGCTCCCCGGCTTTCTGTGGAAACTGGGTACACCCAACAAGAAGTGCCTCCAGAAACCCCACTTCCACCTCATACACATGTTCTCTGGGTCCTCAGGGGAGCCCGAAACACACACCAAATGAAACTAGAGTCAGAGTGGCAAAGAGCCAGGCGGACACCCATCTTAGGGATTGTCCCTGAGGATACCTGACCACTCAGAAAAGGGTGTGGGACAGAGGCCCATGGTCAGGGGAGCCCGCTGGACAGCACACAGGCAGCTTGGAGTCTGAAGCTGAAGATGCATGGCTAGACTTGAGAGAGCTACAGAGGATGCTGGACGCCTTCTTCTTGCCCATGCTTTGAAAGGGTTACCTGGTAGAGGTAGGAAAAGGTAAGAATATGAGCATTGGCATCAACCACTGACGTTTCCCCTCACAGATGGTATGACTGAGAGCAAGCACTTCCTTTCACCTTTTTTTTTTTTAAAAAAAAAAATTATATGCATTGGTGTTTGACCTGCATGTCATTGTGACGGAGTCAGATCCACTGGATCTTGAGTTACAGACACTTGTGAACTGCCATGTGGATGCTGGGAATTGAACCTGGGCCCTCCAGAAGACCAGCCATTACTCTTAACCACTGAGTCATCTCTCCAGTCCTCCCTTTCACCTTTCTAGGCCTTGTTTTCTCATCTAGTAAATGGACCACTATTTTATCTACTAATCTCCCTGCAAGCGTGTGTGTGTGTGTATGTGCATGTGTGCACGTGTGAGCAGGCAGAGGTGTGCATAACACACGTACATGTGGTATAGCTGTGTGAGTGAATGCCATGCATTGTATGTGTGCCTGAGGAGGCCAGGAGAGGACTTCAGATCCCCTGGTGCTAGAGTTCCAGGCGGTTGTGAACTTCCCAGTGTGGGTGCTGGGAACTGAACTCAGGTCCTCTGGAAGATCCACAAGCGCTTCTAACTGTTAAGGCATCACTTCAGCCGTTCCATCTTATTTTTGGAGAAGAGGCCTTCCACTGAATCTGGAGCTGACCAGTACAGTCTGACTGACTGGCCAGCAAACCCCAGGGAGCCTCCTGTCTCTGCTTGCCCAGGACTGGGACTACAGGCAGGCATTACCATGTCCTGGTTTTGGTTTTGGTTCTTGTCTTTGTTTTTCTTAGCATGAGTTCAGGGGATCAAGCTCAGGCATTCACGCTTGCATGGCAAAGGCAGAACTTTACTGACCGAGCCATCTCCCCAGCCCTGTACCTGTTGTGTAAAGGGCTCCAGCAGATGTCTTGGCATCTCCAGGTTACCATCTCCAGGTCGGGCCATTATTACTAATATTCTTTGAGCTATTACTTTCTTGTTTGCCAAAGAGGAAAAACAATACACAGATTCCTTGTGGTCAGGAACTCTGTAGTGAGAGACCAATGGGACACTTAATAGATGTCAGACCTGCCCATCCCTCCTCCCAACCCCTACTCTCCCTTCCCCACAACCCTCTCTCCCCTCCCTCCCCCACAACCTCTCCCAACTCTGCCACCCAGGAGCTGGAGACCCGGCTCCTACTCAGCTGGGCAACAGGTGGCAGGGTCCATGAGACACAGGTGTAACTTTGCAGGAGACAGGGGGGTGTGACCCCTTCTGTTTCCTCCCACACTGCTTCCCGCAGCTGTGTGGCTTTGGGGAGGGGTGGGAGAGAGGCTGCAAACACAGCCACGTGCAGTTGGAGGGCTGAGTAAGCGCCTCACTTCCTTCTCCCCCACCCCCCCACCCCGCCAACTGTGGCCAGCAACTGTGGCCAGTTTGTGATTCACAATGCTTGTTGGGGCAGGCACTGTGACTGAAGAGGGGCCACTTCCCTGAATTGTCCTGGCTGCCTGGTCCCCCAGCACACCTGGCTGGCCCGCTTACTGGCCTGGGGAACCACAGGGTGTCCTGCCTGGGTGGCAGCAGGCACCCAGGCCTTGCCAAACCAGGAGGTGTGGCCTTGGCTAGGCTCTTGTGCTGGAGCCTGGATTCTGCACGAGGCTCAGTCTGAGTTTTGGCTTTAGTTTTCTGTGCTTCAGCCAGAAGGGCAACATAAATGTCCCCTGACTGCCACTCTGCACCAAGGCTGGGAGTGGCTCCCCTCCCACTCCCTGGCCACACCTCTCACTCTCATGGTGGCCTTTCAATGGCCGCACAGCCAGGAGAGATGAAATGGCTAGCATTCACAGCGAGACATGTCAGCCTGATGAGAGCCGAGAAGGTGGCCAAGGACCCGCTCTGAGGTGAGGTGTCTGTGTCTCTGCTGGGTAAAGATATGAGACTCTTAGAGCCTGGCATGGGGTGGAAAATAACAGATTGTTTCCCTCAGCAGCACCAGGGATTTCCCAGGGCACCTGCATGTGTCAGGCAAGCACACTCTATTACCTGAACCATATCCACATGTATGTGTGTGTGTGTGTGTGTGTGCACGCACGCACGCAAAACTTCCCAAGACAATATCAAGACCTTTTTTCCTCAAAAGCTCCACCTTTAAGAGCTTAAGGGGCAGGAGCCAGGATGTTTACCTAACATGCACAAGATTTATGTTGGGTTCAAGCATAAATACATGCATGTAATTACAGAACTCAGGACATAGAAGCAGCAGGATCAGGAATTCGAAGCTAGACTGGGCTCCATGAGACCCTGTCCTGAAAAGAAAAACAAACAAACAAACAAACAGAATTTAAGGGACACTGGCTACAAAACTGCATAAGGACATTTAACACAGCACTGGTAAGAAAAGAAAGAACACTGGACAAGACCTGAATTCCCAGTTGTGGGAAAGACTTACAGAGATACATTTTAATCATGTAGGGATACATCATCTCTGGGTGTGTCTCCACAAAGATGACTTCAAATAGTGATACTATTCAATGTTCATGTTCACAAGAATTGCTCAAGAGTCTTATTAAAATGCAGATTCTGATCTGGCAGGCATGTGTGTGCGTGCGTGGGTGCGTGCATGAGTGCATGCGTACGTGCATGTGTGTGTGTGCCTGTGAGCATGCATGAGCAGAGGCCACAGGAGGACTTTGAATGTCTTGCTTTGTCATTCTCTGCCACATTCCCTTGGGATAGGTTTTCCCACAGACCTGGAGCTAGGCTGGCAGCCAGGTGGCCCCGATGCCCCTCCTGTTTCTGCTCCTCACAGTACTCTGGTTCCAGGCCCATGTGTGGCCATTCCTGATTAAAGAAATTAATTCAAGAATTTATCTATTTTCATTTTTATGGTGTATGAGCATTTGGCTGCATGCATGTATGTACACTCTATGCAATGTCTGACCAGAAAAGAGAGCCAGATCCCATGGAACTGGAGCTACAAGAAGTTGGGAGGCACCATGTGGGTGCTGGGAACCAAACCTGGGTCTCCTGCAAGAGCAACGTGTGCTCTAACTGCTGAGCCATCTCTCCAGCCCGCTTCTGGCATTGCTTTTGTCTTCTGTCTTTTTTCCCCTTCTCTTCCTCCTTCTCCCCGCCTTGTGTATTAACACTCCTGATTTTATTGTCTTCATAACACAAGCACTTAGGACGGGTCACCCGGCTCTGATTCTGCGTATTACCTCCCAGCATCCTCTTTGCTTTGAGGTTGAGCTCAATATACTCAAGCTTCAGCAAATTTTCTCTGTAGTCTTACCCTCTTTGCAGAAACAGGCTTAGGCTGCCCCTGTGGCCGCTTTGTTTCCTGTCAGAAGGTCACTTTCCCTTGGTCTTCTTGTCCTGTGTCACTTTGTGTAATTAATGCTCACCACAGCTTACCACATTTTTTCTTCTTTTTCTCTCTTTTCTTTCTTTTGTTTGTTTGTTTATTTTTTGGTTTTTCAAGACAGGGTTTCCCTTTGTTGTCCTGGCTCTTCTGAAGCTCACTCTGTAGATCAGAATGGCCTCAACTCAGAAATCCACCTGCCTCTGCCTCATGAATGTTGGGATTAAAGGTGTATGGCACCATTGCCTGACACTTACCACATTTCTTGCAGGAAGTCTGGAAGTTCTTCGGGACCTTTACCATGTTTTCAAGAGTACTATCAGCACAGAAAGATGGCTTCCCCCCACCTTGAGGCAGGGTCTTAAGGTATCTCAGAATGGCCTCCAAATCTATGTAGCTAAGATGACCCCTACCTCTACTCCCGAAACACTGGTATTCCAGACACACACATCCAGCTTTGTGAGATGCCAGGGATGAACCCAGGGCCTCACGTATGCTACATGAGGGCTTTATCCCCTGAGCCCCTCAGTGTGGGGTTAAATGAAGAAAAGTATGTTACAAAGGAAAGTGTTTCCATTTTATAAAGAAAACATATGCAGGCATAGAAACAATCTAGAGGGCTGTACTATAAAATATATTTAAAATTAAATAAGTATTTTTTTCCAGACAGGGTTTCTCTGTGTAGCCCTAGCTTTCCTAAAAATTCACTGTGCAGACCAGGCTGACCTCAAACTGAGAGACGGTTAGCTCTGCCTCTCAGGTGCTCGAATGAAGATGTGTCACCATTGCCTTAGGTTTTTGTTTCATTTTGTTTTGATTTTTAATTTTTGTTGTTGTTGTTTTTTTCGAGACAAGGTTTCTCTGTAGCTTTGGAGCCTGTCCTGGAACCAGCTCTTGTAGACCAGGCTGGCCTGGAACTCACAGAGATCCGTCTGCCTCTGCCTCCCAAGTACTGGGATTAAAGGTGTGCGCCACCACTGCCCTATCTAGTTTTTAGATTTTTAAAAGTTTGCTTTATGTGTATGAGTGCTTTGCCCAAATATTTGTATGTACACTATGTGCATGTCTGGTGCCCACGGAAGACAGAAGAGGGCACTGTGTCCCCCGGAACTAGAGCTCTGGATGATTGTGAGCCACCATGTGAGTGCTGCGAGCTGAACTCGGGTCCTCAGCAAGTGCTCACCCCCAGCCAGCTCTCCAGCCACCTATGAAATAACAGTAGAGTTTTGCTGGGTGATAAGATTGTGGGTTTAAAACTTTTATTCTTTATGCTAATTTGTATTATCTGTAATAAATATCTATTGATTACGGGTTAATTTTGTTTGATTGCTTGCTTACTTAGTTGGTTGATTGGTTGGTTGGTTGGTTTTTAAAGACAGAGTTTCTCTGTATAGCCCTGGCTATCCTTAAAGTGGGTCTATAGAACAGGCTGGTCTTGAACTCACAGATATCCACTTGCCTCAACTTCCTAAGTTGATTGCTGGGATTAACGGTGTGAGCCACTATTGCCCGGCTGTATTAACTGTTTAATTGAGACAAAATTTACACCTACGCTGCTGGGCCACCGGCCAGATGTTTATGCCATGTTCCTGGTCCTCAGAACTGTGAGTCAAAATATGTTTCTACCCTTTGTAAATCAGCCAGTTTTGGCTACTGGAGGATAACATTTGGAAATCAATGATATGGGAGCAGAGGGGATCATTTTAGCTGAACTCATGGACTTCCATAACACTGACTGATAGCATGAGAAAGCTACCCCTTTCCAATCCTCTTCACAATCTTCCAGTGGGTTAGCCTTGAACACCTCACCAGCCTTCTGGTGGGCTAGCCTCTGACACCTCACTCTTAATGAAATGTGAAGTTTCCTTTTCATGAAAAGAGAATTGGCCTCAGGCTGGGAGTGTTCACTGGGGACAGCTACTCCCAATGCAATTGATTTGCACACTTGACCTCCTACTTAGGGTAAAGATACAATGTCGTCTTAAAAATATTTTCAAGTTGCAAGGGATAAAAAACAAACTAAGCCTTCATGGTGGTGCCTACATATAATCTCAGCACTCAAGAGGACTGTGAGCTCAGGCCTAGCCTGGGTGACATAGTAAGTTCTAGACTATCCTAGAGAACAGACAGAGACCTTTCCAAAAAGAAGAGAGAGAGAGAGAGAGAGAGAGAGAGAGAGAGAGAGAGAGAGAGAATGAGGAGATTGCTCAGCGGGTGAGAATGTTTGCTGTGTAAGCAAGAGGAACTGAGTTCAAATCCCAGCACTTACATAAACATGAGCGTGGCCATCAATGCTTCCAACCCCAGCATTGGGCTAGAGACCTGCGGGTCCTGGGAGTTCACTGGCCAACTAGCCTAGTAAAAATAGTGAGCTTAAGGTCCTCTCCAAAAGCAAGGTGAGATGACTCAGCATCTCATTTTCCAGACAATCCTAGTGACCTGAGTTAGATCCTTGGATCCAGAGATTGAAACCCATGATAGGAGGAAAGAACTGGCATTCAGCTGTCCTCTGACCTCCATATGTGTGTCATGCCATGTGTGTATGTGTTCATGCACACACAAACATACACACACACATATGATGATGCTGGTGATGATGAATGAGGTATAGAGTCGTAGTGGAAGAGACCAGATATCCTTCTCTAGCCTCTGCATGCATGGCATGGGTGTCAGCACTAATGCATGCATACACATGACAGAAAGAAAGAAGAAAGGAAGGAAGGAGGGAAGGAAGGAAGGAAGGAAGAAGGAAGGGAGGAAGGAAGGAAGGAAGGAAGGAAGGAAGGAGAAAAAAAGGGAAAAAACAGAGAGGAGGTGAGTGTGGAAAGTGCCGGGTTCCCCAATTCAGTCTGGGGCCTGGGGCCTCCTGACTGGGACCTCAGACACCACCATCCTTGTCCCTGGGGCTCCTAGGATGTCTAGTAGAGAAACTCCGGTCTTTGGAGCCACCTGACTAGGGCTCCCATTTTAACTGCTATTGACTGGATAACTCAAGGCAAGTTGC